GCGAACTATGGTCAACTACATGGGAGTCCAGCAACATAGCCATTACGCTAACTGCTGGTCCCAAGAAGACAAGATTTTAACAAGAAAGACAATCTTTCTCTCTCCTCCACTGTATCATCTATATGTGTAGCTACCTCTACATAACAAAGTAATTGATTTTTGAGTAGAAAAAATAAGCCATCTACAAAAAGTTCACAGAAAATGAATATTATGAAAAAAAACTATACATGGATTTAAAATTTGTTTTTCCTCAGAGCCAATGATTAAGATGCTGAATCCCATATGGCCAACTCCACAGTTTGAGCCCAGACCCAAAAGCTTAAAGAACACACTGGACACATGTGTATGCATGCCCAAAATCCTGAGAGAGGAAATGGAGGAAAAGGGATTGCAGAGTGGCCATCCTGGGGGGTTGGGTGATTTTTCACTTGCCCTCTCTCTCCAGTGAGTACACGTGCCTAAACAAAACAAATATATATATACACACACATACATATGTATATGTATATGTATATATGTATGCGTATGCATGTGTGTGTATGTATATATATGCGTGTATGTGTGTATGTGCGCACGCACATGCACCCATTCTCCTCCATTCTCCTCTCAGGATTTTGGGCACGTACACACATGCACACAGCGTGATATTTCAAGCTGCCTGGTACGCAAGACTCAAACCACTAGTCAGCCATGTGGGACCCAGCACTTTAACTCCGCACCGCCTGCTGGCCCAGGTCTTTATTCATTTTAACAGCTGCATAGATGAGTGAATGAAGCTGGCAGACGTATTTACTCAAGGCCACTAGTAACGGTGAAACTGTCATTCTAAGAGAGACACGAGATGAAATTTGAGGGTTTGTATAACAAAAAGGAAGAGAGGGGGGTAATTGGGTAAAACACAATGGGAATGATTGAGTTCTTATTTGTGTAACTTCTTTAAGAATCAAAAAATTAGGAGGAAACCACCAAAAAACAAGAGGAAGGAAAAATGGATTAAAGTGGGATAATTCCATGGCAAAAGGAGATAAAAGCAATTCATGATCAAGAACAGTAGATAAGAAATTAATGGACTGTAACCCAAAACAGAATACAAATTATTTGCTTCTTTTTTTTTCTTTCTTTTTTTAGGCATATTTATTTCTTCTACGAGGAAAAGAGAGAGAAAAAAAGAGAAAACTCCCAACAGGGTCTCAGCACTAAGACCCGATCCCAGCCTGCCCTGGACCATGGGCACCAGTGTCCCTGGTGCACTCAGGGAAGTCTCTAGATGTGAACCTGGAACCATTTTCTGGCTCTGCCTAAAGAGTACTGTGCTTTAGTGCTGAGCTACTATCCAGCCCCCTAAGTCATTTCTTTTTTTGTTTTCTGTTCCCCCCACCACCAAAGAATGGTCTTTTTTTAAATTATTATTTAACTTTATTTATTTAATTTCAGAGAGGGATAGAGTGAGAAAGAAAGAGAGGGGGACAGTGAGAAAGCAAGCCGCCAGGTGTGGAACTTGAACCACTGTCAGCCATGTGAGAGTCCAGTACCCTTAACCACTGTGCCACCTGCCGGTCCTTTCTTTTTTTAAATTGCTGTAGGATACATGTGCTCATTGAAGACACACACACACAGAGAGAGAGAGAGAGAGAGTGTGAAAGAGAGATGGAAAGCAAGAAAGCAGGCTGCCAGGTCCAGAATTCAAACTCTGGTCAGCCACGTGAGAGTCCAGCGCCTTTAACCACCATGCCACTTCCTGGCTCCTGTTCTCTCTAAAATTATCTTGAGCATAAACAACACAATTTGTAGGATGACTCAAAAGCAAAAAGTTTCATTCTAATATCCATGTTGTTCCCCAAACACACTCTCTCTCTCCTTTTACTCTCATTCCTTATCTCTGAAAATTGTTTTTACTATCCTTTAATTCCAAGCCCAGTCACCTAGCCCTTCTGTGGTTCACCCCCCACCCTCCCCTGAAAAGACACAGCCAGTCTTGTCATTCAGGGATCCATAGTTCTCAATGGCCACTTGGGGACATATTAAGAACATCAGATTACATTTCTTTAATATTTACTTAAGTTAAGCATTACACCAGGCATTTACATGCATTGCCTCCCTGAACTCTCAAACAACC